CAAACCACTGAGACATTGTTTTGTATATTAATATAATACTGTAGAAATTAATAAACTTTTATTAAAAATTAATTTCTCAGTCAAAAGACATCGTGTAACAAAAAAAATTACCTCGGTGTCAACTAGCGACATCTGGTGAGCAGAAAATGATTAGTCCTCATTGGGGTGGTGATTGTCTTAAGACGCCGATTTTATTTTTTGACTTAGTAGACTATAAAGCCACCTTAAGTGTACACTTCACTTTGGGGATGTCTACTGCTTAGCTCGAACCTACTTCAAAACTGCACAAGAAATACAGTTCTAAACTAACTGCATAAGTCGATTAGAATGCCTCGTCAGGTCACAACTCAATCTATTGGAGAGTCCCTTACAGTGAGTTTGCCGCTTCGAGTCTGTGACTTGATAAAATTTCTTCCGCAAATAGCTAGCCCGCTGCTACATCAGCTAATTTATCCTTTGAGTTTAGTTCTTTCATATTTTTGTTTAACTTAAATTAATTAATTCACTGTGTAGTTTTTCAGTGAGTGTGTTGTTTCGGGGAAGACATGGTTATCCCCTGATGGTCATGGGAATCTCCCGTTGTAGGAAAGATTTGCCTTAATCTTTTTTAAAAGCTTTTACAAAAATTTACTTCGCAAATATCCGCGTTATAAAATAAAATTATGTGTCTTACCTAGTATGAAGAGCACCTCCCGCCCTCCCTCAATTGCGTGCACTATCTCCGTCACCACTAATCCCAGCACCGCTACTCCCAACACCACTACACCAGGCAAGACACACCACTGACGATAATACGACAGGTGTTTCGCCTCTACACGAGGCATCCTCAGGTGATATAGACTCTACGGTGGCTAACCGCTAAGTGAGCGGCGAGCCAAAACAAGTGCCTTTTATACAAACCGATGATGCAACCGCTCTCTACCTAAGGAGCGAGCAACTGCGTCATGCGATAAAACATGCGATCAATCACCGCTGGACTTACGCAGCCGTTTGTAAAATTAAAAACAAACCGCCGCGCAACGCCCACCCTCCAACCACGCAACCAATCGCCGATCACCGTGAGGGTGACAAGCGACCATATTGCGAGGCTCTCTATTATTAGAGAGCAGGCTTGAAGATATTTAAGAGAGGTGAGTTAGTAACATTTGTTTGTTCATTCAGCAATGCAACGGTATTATTATTACTTTTTAATATCTCTAACTGTTCCAGCACACACAGCCGCAGCCCTTTATTACACGTATGTAAGACTTTAAAGGAGTGGTCGTTGGCTAGGTTGTGTCCAGTGTCCAAAAGATGTTTGGCAAAATGGGATTTATCGGGATTGCAATTCCTGTACGCGGCTAAATACTCTTTATAACGTGTCTCGAAACTGCGACCAGTCTGACCGACGTAAACGGAGTGGCATTCGTCACAAACAAGTTTGTAAACACCTGACTTTTGATGAATATCCAACTTATCTTTACTATTACAGATATTTCTAAGAGAATTGTTTGTTTTGAACGCCACATGAATGACGTTTTGTCGAAGAGTATTAGCTACTTTTTCAGATATGGGGCCTAAGTAGGTCAAACTGCTCACATATCGATGAACACTTTGAGGTTGAACCGCGTACAGAGAGTTGCGAATAACATGCTTTTATTTTTTTATTATTTTTTTTATGGGAGAGGGGGCAAGCGAGCACGCGGCTCACCTGATGGTAAGTGACTACCGCCGCCCATGAACAACTGCAACACCAGGGGAACCGCAGATGCGTTGCCGGCCTTTTAAAAAGGAGTACGCTCTTTTCTTGAAGGTCCCTAAGTCGTATCGGTCCGGAAAAATCGCTGATGGTAATCGATTCCACAAGGAGGTCGTGCGAGGAAGAAAACATCTTCTAAATCGCACAGTGTTGGACCGCCAATCATCCAGATGGTGTGGATGGTATCGGGAGTTCTGCCGCGATGTGCGTTCGTGAAATTTGGCGGCTGGGATTAATCCGAACAATTCCTCAGAGCACTCCCCATGGTAGATGCGAAAGAAAATGCAAAGGGATGCAACATCTCTTCGCAGTGCCAATGAATCGAGCCGATCGGAAAGGTCTCGGCCGTCGACGATTCGAGCCGCTCTGCGTTGGATGCGGTCAAGTGGAAGGAGCTGGCACTGGGGAGCCCCTGACCAGAGATGGGAACAGTATTCCATGTGAGGCCGAACTTGCGCCTTGTAAAGTTGCAGGCGGTGTGCCGGCATGAAATACTGTCCCGCTCTGCTGAGCACGCCAAGCTTTTTAGAGGCCAATTTGGCCTTCCCTTCCAAGTGACCACGAAACTGCACGTCACTCGATATGTCGACTCCGAGGATACCGATACTGGCTGAGGCAAGAAGGGGAGTGCCTTCAAACTGAGGAGATACGACAAAGGGGTTCTTTTTAGCGGTAAACGCGCAAACTTGTGTCTTCTGAGGATTAAACTGGACTAGATTAAGTCGCCCCCAATCCGAGACTTTGTTCAGCAAAGACTCGACTTCAGACACAAGTTTGTTCCGGTACTCAGCGACGTTTTCCCGAGAAATATTGGCACGGCCGGTGTATAGAGCATCACCAGTGCTGGTATCCGCATAGCAATGAATGTTACCAGTTAGCAACATATCATTGATATGCAGAAGAAACAGCGTTGGTGATAGCACACAGCCTTGTGGAACACCAGTGTTAATAGGCTTGTAGTCAGAGCATGCACCGTCTACAACGACCTTGATGCTCCGATCTGCAAGAAAGCTGGTGATCCAATTGCACAATTTCTCGGGAAGCCCATAGGCAGGCAGCTTCGAAAGAAGCGCTTTGTGCCAAACCCGATCGAAGGCCTTCGCAATGTCCAGACTAACGGCCAACGCCTCCCCCTTGGACTCTACTGCCTCCGCCCATCTATGGGTCAGGTAGACCAGAAGATCACCAGCTGATCGACCCCGACGAAAACCGTATTGGCGGTCACTAATCAGCTGGTGATCCTCAAGGTACCGGATGAGCTGGCAGTTAATAATGGATTCCATTATTTTGCAGAACAAGGAGGTGATCGCGATAGGCCTATAGTTGGATGGGTCTGAGCGGTCGCCTTTTTTAGGGATCGGGTGGACAAAAGCTGTCTTCCATGAATTCGGGACTACGCCTTGGGAGTAGGAGTACCGGAAAAGACGCGTTAGGACCGGTGCCAACTCCGGAGCACACGTCCTCAGCACAATTGGGGGGATTCCGTCAGGCCCACTCGACTTCTGGATGTCCAGGGAGAGCAGTGCTTTGCGAACCGAGCGCTGTGAGAACAACACATCCGGCATGGAGCACTCACATCGCGGGATGGTCGGCGGTGTGTTCCCCCCGTCATCAAGAGTTGAGTTGGACGCAAAAAGGGAGCCTAAAAGGTCGGCTTTGTCTTTTGCGTCTTGGGCCAGTGAGTCATCCTCCCTGTGCAGAGATGGTAGTGATGGCTTACAGAAATTCCCTTGGACAGCCTTGGCGAGAGACCAGAATGCACGGGTTCCCGAAGGAAGGCGAACTAGTTTCTCGCCAATTCTGCCTATGTGCAAAGCTGCCTCGCAAACTTTGCCTTGGCAATAACTCTTTTGAAGGACCTGGAGGCGAAGTTATACTTCTTTTTAAGTGTGCTGGTATTTACATCCCGAGTCGCCGAAGCCGCAGCCCAGGCTTGATAACACTCCTGCTTACTGCGTAATGCAGTCTTACAGGAGCGACCAAACCAAGGCTGAGATCTGCCTCCGATGGGTACCACAGATGATGGAATAAATAGTTCCATTCCCTGTAGCACCACATCAGTGACAGAGTCAGCAACAGCGCTGGGATCGTCCGGCGAGAAGCAAATCCGCCCCCATGGGTAGGATGCAAAGAAAGACCACATTCCGTCCCAATCCGCCGACCTGTAATGCCATACACGGCGGCAACCTGCAGAACGCAACCGCGAAGGGAGCGTGAGTGGCACCACACTCCGGATCAGACAATGGTCCGAAGAGCCGAGAGGGGCATCGACGGAAACCTGATATCCGTCCGGATGAGAGGTCAGTAGAAGGTCCAACAGGGAAGGTGTACGATCCTCCACATCTGGAATCCGCGTAGGCGAAGTAACCAGTTGTGTCAGACCATATGGCAAGGCAAAGTCATAAACAGATCTCCCCGCATGATCGGTTAGACGTGAACCGAGCCATTCGGCATGGTGGGCGTTAAAATCACCAAGGCTCACGATCTCTGCGGATGGGACCTGTTTTAGCAAGGAATCTGTAGCCATTTGGACGTGGTCGATGAGTCGGTCTGTTTCGGCATTACCGCTATGGGACCTATAGAGGCACCCGTAGACGCGCGGATGGTCGTCGCTGTCTACGCGTAGCCAAAGGATGGACAAGTTCGAACCTTCAAGACTGCCGAGGCGTCGAGAACAGATGTCCTCTCTGACATACACGCAAACTCCAGCCCGAGGCACAAAGGAATGCTCCAATTTGTACCCCGGGTAGGAGAGATACGAAATATCAGCCGGAGAGGAAACCTGCGTCTCGGTCAGAAAGAGCAAGGCCGGCTTCGCCGTCTTGAGATGGTAGTGGATGGCGTTTAGGTTAGAGTGAAGTCCCCTGATGTTGCAGAAATTCACGGATAGCGTGGCAGGGGTCGCCTTGGTGTTCTTGCTCAGTTTGCCCCTAGCAGTTATGCTTTGGAGCGGAATTTTGCCCCCCCCCCCCCCCGAATACGCGGGGCAGCCTGAGCACCCACGCTCAGGATCGGAATAACATGGTCGTGGATGCTCAGCGAGGGATTCTCCAGGGGTACTGGTACCCTCCTGGGGTAGTTCTTCGTGTAATTCCGCTACCATGTTGATGGGGGGGGGATTGGGCCTCCGGCCACCTGCACTCACCAGACGAAACGCAGAAGCAGAGCTTCTACTTCACGCCGGTATTCTGTGAGGTCGTGGTACCAACCCGGCTCGAGCCGGCCCATACATGCAACAGCAAAAACTACTGCGTGGCTCTCTCTAATTGTTAATGAGATTTTTTGAAAAACCGTTAGAGACCGCTATTTGATAAATTATATTAAGTTCTTTTAAATAATTTTCTTTACATAATGGGACAGTGAACAAACGGTTAATGTAACAATAAAAAGCGGCTACTTTACGTTGCCACGGATGACATGATGACGCGGGGATGACCGTGTCGGTGTGAGTTGGCTTTCGATAAATTTGGAAAACATGTGACGATACTTTTCTTGTTATTGTTAAGTCGAGAAAATTAAGGGAACAATCTTGTTCCAATTCAAGTTTAAATTTAATTTTGTCATGGACTCTATTTATTTTATTGAGGAAAACATCCAGTTGTCTCCTGGTGCCAGTCCAGCAAATAATTATGTCGTCTACATATCGATAGTAATATAAGATATTTTGATTGACAACTATATGTTGTTTTTCGAAATTATCCATGAAAATGTCCGCCATAAGGGGACTTAGAGGGGACCCCATAGCTAACCCTTCTTTTTGTAGATAGAAACGGTTATTAAACCGGAAATAATTTTGTTTCATACAGAGAGAATTAATCTTTTTTTATAGGATCGAGTAACAAACGAGCACACAGTCCACCTGATGGTAAGTGGTTGCTGTGACCCATAGATATCTACATTTATCTTCAATAAAGAATCAAAATGCAGATGCGCTGTCACTCGTGAGGATTAAGATGGAATGCCTCTTTTCCAGTAAAAAGGGTCTCCGGTTCTCTACACTCACCATACGAAACACAGCAGCATTAAGCTGCTATTTTACGCTGGTATTCTGTGAAAGCGTGGTCCTTCCCCAGTCGAGCCGACCCATTCGTGCTATAACTTATAGCTGCAGCATGGCTCTACCACGTAAACATAATCGTTACAAGACTTTTCAAAAATTTTACCCTACTGCCTGTCCTTGAGTTGATTTTGAGTTGTTATCAGGAAAACTTTACTAATCATCTCCTGTGTCGTTTTCCACGGTCACTTCTAATCAATCATAAGATAATACAGGGTAATGGACTCTCTTACGGTGTCAGTACACAGCGAACCCGGATAAGTATTATTGTTCTATCCTAATTAGTGGGTTGAATTGTTTTAGGACCAAAATAAAAATATGTTTCTCAAGAATTTTAGTTCAACGGGAAGTGACTATAGTGCCTTTCACCTGTAGGCTGCTTACCACTAAATATAAAAAATAAAATGATATTCTAACTCGATGAAACGTTTTCTTTTCTACCAGCTTCAATAAGGAGGAGGTACTCAATTCGACTGTATATTTTTTATGTGCGTTACCTCATAACTTTTTTCTATGTGAACAGATTATTGTTTTTATTTCAAAGTTGTGTTTTATAATGTGCTCCCTTATAAATTTGATCAAGGTCTGAACAATTACGTTTTAGTTATTCTTAATAATTTATATTAAATTTGGTTGTACAAAATTTTTAATTAGCATTTTGTACAACCAAATTACCAGCACGAGCTTACTTGTCATACGTTGCGCTCACCTGATTGTAACCTGGTGTAGCAGCCTATAGTCACTGACATAAAAAAGAAGTCCACAAGAAGTCCACGGATTCGTTGTCAACACCGAGTAAGGATTTGAAATGCCCAAGATACAGTTTACGATCTTACCGAATCTTTTATATTTCAAATAGAAATGCAGCTGCTGCAGAAATTTTAAAGTAGATGTTACGTACTCAGATGAAGTTTTAGGCCTAAACAATAATATTTTACATGGTTTATAATTTTTTTGGAACTTAGTTAATTATAAAATTCTGAAGAAATGATTTCTTACACGAATTTTAATAACAATAAATTAAAATTAAAAATTTCGTACAACCGACTTCAATATAAATTATTAGGGATAACTGAAAAACTATTGGTCAGACCTTGATCAAATTTATATGGGAACACGTGAGAAGCACCAGCTTTCAAATAAAAAAAGAGTCATCGAAATCAGTTCACCCAGATAATAGTTATGAGGTAACACACATAAGAAAAAAACATACAGTCGAATTGAGTACCGTCGCCTTTTTGAGATCGGTAGAATACTCCGAATTGAACGAAACGATGATTATTAAAAGTAAAATTAAACGCGATAACATCCGTATTGTTATTTTTCTTAAATTTCACCGAAAATTACTTATTTAAATAGTTCATTACTTCACAAATAAAATTAATAAATCTACATGATGTATTTAGGTTTTTACTGCATTTTGGAATAAATAGAAAGGTGCTATTATGATTTAAAGAGGTTTCATAGCACACGAAGGGATTAAATGCAGAACATTAAAGCCGCATATGAAGCTTACTGGCTCTTACTATTTAGCAGTGGTGTCACGGCACTGCATGTTACAATCTAGCGTACACTACAAGATTAAGCTTTGCATATTCCGGCCGCATCTCACAGTGTGACAGCAAATACACGTTACTTTGAACAAGTACTCGAACCAGAGCTATGAATACTTAAGTTGACGATAAACTTGTATTCACTAGATAATATCGTATGGGATATTATGAGAGTATATGAACGAATAATAATTTCAAACAAACGTTGATTTATTTTAATTAAGAGAGGAAAAGACGAAAGTTGTTTTCTTTGGTGACTTAAACGTACTATACTTTAAATTATTACTAATATACCTACTTATATTATCTTATTATTTTTTAGGTTGGTTGTACTTTTGCTAGTGGCAAGTAATAACAAATTACATCTTATATATTGTATAAAATCTTCACAGTATTCTGATGCGTCACATTGCGAAGTTTCTGGGTGATTTTTACCACAGCTTACCCCATATTAAGTTCTTAGAACGCCTAAAAATACCAAAAACTAGAGATTTACTTGCGCAGATACTTAATTCACAAAATCGCATCACTACTACGTTAACTACTTCATACCATTATTTAACGATAAAACAGGACTACTAATTTACCAACAGTCAAGTTACCTCCAAACTTCTCAAAAGGAGGGGTTGTTAATAAAAGTTATTGGTAGGTAGCAAATATTGTTGCGAATTGAGAGAAAGTTACCTTAAAAAATTTAGGTGGTGTTATGCTCTGTTTGCAACTCGTTACTGGTTGTTTTCATTCCAGATTAGAAAAAACATTAAATCGCTTTTTACGTCACTCTTTTTTTTAAGATGTGTTCCACGAAAGACCACGCAAGCCACTATTTTGCATGCATTTTGACTGACGAAATTAATTTGAGTCATCAAAACAAACATACGAGCCTTGTTTTTTTTTACTACAGTATGGAGAACATATGGTTTTCTTATTGGTAGGACTTTAGCAATGGAATACAGAGCGTGTGTTGCAAACCTGCGATTTTTAAAATACATCCATCACCTTTAGTAACGCTCCTTGAGCCCGTTCCACCACTATAAATTTAGTTTTTAGAGCGCCTCCCCAAACTGTCAGAGAGTAAGTTAATATTTGTCGTGCTAATGCCATATATACTTGGCTTATAAGTTTTCACTCAGCAACATGTCTCAACATTTTAAAGTCCACATCAGCTTGCGTGTTCTACTGTAAACTACGTGTAAACTTATATAAGCTGTAACAGATAATGACCAGCGCAACAGGATCCATCAACCCATTTAATCATGTGGGTATTGTAAGAAACGGATGTGAAAGAGTCTCGAAAAACCTCCTGGTCTACGACAGACGACGAAATACGATCTCGTATATACAACAGATGTTAATTACTCAGGCCGGCGAGAAAAACTGGCATAGGATTAGTCATTTTCATTGTAAAAATCAGACAAGTTTTGTTAAATAATTTACATATATCCTTTTTTTAGATATAATCGTGTAAAATCAAATTGTTAACTAAGCAGTAAATTTCATGAAAGTAACAATTCTTATAACATGAATTTACTTATAATTTTGATGGAAACTCTTAAGGAAATTGAGACGGGAAACTTTAACTTTAGTTTACGAAATATTCCGCTTAAGGAAAAAAGAACATGAACAAGCAATTTATGTTACAAATAATGAAATTGAGAAGTTACAGTTAAAAGACTTCATCGGGTTTGTTGTTATAAGAGTTTATTTTGAAATCTAGGAAAAATTAATTTGGCTTTTTATTTGTTTGAAATTAACGATTTTTCTTATTTTGTACAGCTTATCGCTCACGAATTGTTAGCACAAGCAAGTTAGTACTAAACTTCGCTCGTTAAGATGACGATCATTGTAAATGTGAACTATTATCTGAAGCTTTGTGCTAACCGCGGCTCTTGTTTGTCAAAATTAATATTTGCTCATTAACTGTACACGCGGTGACTACCTATTACATCAACACATCAGCATTTCATTGACATTCTCACAAATCTTATGATTAATAGAAAAGGGGAGACAGTAAATACATTTCCATTTGAGATTATTTTACTTTTGTTGGTGTCAATAAAGAAGTTGAATGCAAAATGTTCTATTACATTATTTAGAATATCAATATTACCAATGCCAAATATATAAATTCAAACAATTTGTATATGTACATAATGTTCCTATTCAATAAAAATACCGGGTACTTCTACCATTTTAATGAAGATTTTTGCCATGTCGTAGAAAATCTATGTTGAAAATATTTCCCTCTTTCAATTTATAGAATTCCATATAATTTAAAATTAAACTTTTTGTACAGCCGACTTCAATATAAGTTATTAAGAATAACTCAAAAACCATTGGTCTGACCTTGATCAAATTATAATGGTTCCACACGAGAAGTACCAGCTTTCAAATAAAAAAAGAATCATCACAGAAATCGGTTCACCCAGTAAAAAGTCCTGAGGTAACACACATAAAAAAAAACATACAGTCGAATTGAGTACCGTCTCCTTTTTGGAAGTCGGCAGAAAAAGAAAAAAACACAAAATCAGTAAGAAAGTCTGGCAAGTACGATGAAATACGGAGAATTTTCAAGTAAAGCTCCTGGAATGCGAAATTTCGTTGTGCATTGTTGATTGCGAACATATCCATTATCATTCGAAAGTGCATGCTGTGCTCCGGTCTGAAGGTATAGTGAGAGAGTCTAATCTTATCCCCAAGAGAAAGGATCTGTAACCATCTTTGTTTGAAGTTAACTGCAGGTGTCCATTTACTACAATTACCATTTACCATCAGGTGAGAGAGACTCGCTTGTCACTTTAGTTTTATATAAGAAAAGAGTATCGCCCGCTTATGTGCGAGCATTGCGAAAAGTTTGTACGAGCTTCCATACTTTCGTTCACTCCAGTACGTATTAGAATACTACAATAATAAATTTATATGAAGGTGATACTAACTGATACTCTCTGAACTCGGAGATATTTGAAGAACTATGATGATGATGAAGTCGAAAATGAAAAGTATGACAATGAATTAACAATTTACGAAAAAAAAACATATTAATTTTATTGCCGGTAAATATTATCGTGTAGAATATTATTAGAAATTGAGAAGTTGCGAATCGCTCGACCAGTGATAAATAATGCGACATCT